GGGCCCTCGACCCCCAGCCCGGGTCCCGCGGTCCTCGGTCCTGGACCCCCGCTCCCGGCGGCGCGCAGCGCTGCCCTCCCCGCGCTCGCCAACTTTGCGGAGTGCGCTTTCTGGGCGCGCGGCGCTCGCCCGTCGGGACCCCGGGTGGGACCCGCACGGCAGCCCGCTCGCGAGCCCTCGGGGTGCGGGGCACCGCAGAGTCGTTCGGTCCAGACCGCGGGCGGGACTCGAACTCCGGCCGCGGGCCGGCCCTGAGCACTCCCGGCACGGGGCGGGGGGTGCGATGGGGGCCTCGGGCATCGGGGCTTCCTCGGGGCGGGCCGACCAGCCTGACTTCTCAGAGCCTCCCTTCCTGGTCCGTGAAACGGGCCTGAGACCCCTTACCCGAATCCTTGCGGGTCTGTGTGCTTTGGGATGCGGAGGTTTTCTCATTTGAGGCCATGCGGGGTTTGGAACTGTGACGCTTGGTCAGACTCGCCTAGGACCGTCTGGGCAAACACAGTCAACAGATAGCTTCACGTCACGTCAGACCGGGACGGAAAACTTTCATTTTGGGGTGGGCTTTCTTTTATTTTTATTTTTTACTTTGAAATGTTGGGTAAGACAGGGCGGACTGCTCTCGCCTTTTAGGGCCCTGCCGAGGATGAAATGAGACAGCGCGCCTGCCAGGGCTCAGTAAATGTGACTCTTGGTACGTGACTTTTCAGTCTGGGCACGCAGAAGTTAGGGCCCGCACCACACAGGTCCACAGACTCAGCAAGTGATGCTCACGAAATGGGTGGGGCCCCTGAGACCCGGACAGGAGAAGGTACCCACCCAGCCAGGCATAGCACGTGCTTGGGGTATGTGGCACGGTTGCCGGGCGAGGGGTAGGCGTTGTGCAGGGTGGGAATGGCCATTCTCTCCCACAGGTGACCTTCTGAGGGGCAGCAACAGGCCCTGCATTTGCGCCAAAGGGGGTGTGGGTGTCTGGGTGCAAGGCCGGACCTCAGCATCCGGTTGTGCTGGGTGGCTGGACCCAGAGGGTTCTTAGCAGTTCTCCTTCCTTAGGGGACGTGTAGGGGAACTGAAGCCGCATGGGGGCAGTGGCTGGCCTAGGGGATCAGGGGCAGAAGCCAGGTGGGAGTGTGGTGGTAGCTTGTCGGTGTGCTCCTGGTTAGGGACCCGGGTGGTGGGTGGGCAGCATGCTTGGCCTGGCAGAGCTTCGGGGTTTGGCTTTGACTCTGCCTTGCCTGGTGCAGAGCCCCTGGAGCCCTCACAGCAGCCAGCCGCCCAGCGTGTCCCTGTCCCACCTGTTGACCGTGCGCGGTGCTGCCCCGTTGAGTGAATTTGCGTTGGTTTCGCAGGAGAAGGTCTGTGTGTGAGCTTCCCCGTGTGCCTGGCTCTGTGTGAGGCCCCGAGGGTCTGACTGTGAGCACAGACGCCACAGTGCCTGTCCTAAAGGGCCCGAGAGACTGGTCAGTAAAGGACCAGGAAGTGTGGAGATGTCGGAAGTGATGAGCCACAGCCAGCCTCTGCCCGGGGCACCTGTTGCAGAGCTGGAGCCTCCCACTCTCTGTGACCTTGGGCAGGTGACTGAACGTTCACAGCTTTGTTCTCCCATCTCTGAAATGGGAAGACCCTGGAGTCAAGAGGTCTCCCGAGATCTTGGCCCAGTGGCTTGCACGGGAAAGCCGACCCTTATGAAGTTACTGGTAATGAGCGGTCTCTAACCAATAAAGACGGCAGTTTGTAAGCTCCCAGTAAGTGCCTGATTTGCGTTAGCTGCCTGAGTTCTGTCGTTGCTGGAGTTGCCGACAGCGCCACGAGGGAAGATGGGAGAGCTTCGTCCTGCCTGCCTCAGGATACCAGATGAGTGTGTGAAAGACCCAAGTACACTGTCTTTGTCTTGTACTTAAAACCCTCCAGAGCGGGCGCCTGGGTGGCTCAGTCGGTTGAGCGACTGCCTTCGGCTCGGGTCATG